CAAAGTTCCATGTTTGGGAAATCATGAAACACTGTTTAAACTAGAATGATTTCCAGCACACCTTCTCAGTAGTGCTGTTTTAAAGGTGGTTTAAAAAGTATAGGAGATAAGTTTGCCAAAAGAATCAGGTTCAACTAAGAAAATATGTACACTGCTTTGACTCAGTAAACTCATACTTGGTATGGTTCATCTTCTTCATATTTACTTTTGCCCATATTAGAAAACAATTAGCTTACTAAACAAATTTGAGTATTTGGGATAAAAAAATCTACTTTGAGTCTCTCTCATTTGACTAAGAATTACATGAGATTTGATAAGCTTGTTTAAAAATGGACATATCCAAATATTATTGTAAACACCCATTGATTTGTTTTACCTGCAATATAAGTATTTTACTTAGTTGGCTTACATAGTAGCTAATAATATTTGTTAATGTAATTTAACTGCTGTGAACCTTTACTGAACAAATATTGAAATTTATACAAGTCAAAGAAAGAGAATCTCTAATGACTTTTGTAAAAGCTTCCATTTAATAGTTAAGGAGAAAAGTTTATATGACATACCAGATGCAATTAACAGTAGATTTTACATTTAATAAAAAGAAAGAAGCATATGTATTTGCTTTATTCATTCCATCATAATTTGCATTAGAGCTGTGGGTGTTTAATGAGCAAATTCCAGCTAAAATGCTATATTGATTTTCTAAGTGAACTTTGTAATAGCTATCTACCTTACAAAAGCTCTCTGTTTACAATTGTTTTCTTTACTAAAAACTAAAAATGTTTTAGAATTGATGAGTTTAGCATAATGATTCTTTTAAAATAAAGAGCTCTTTTAGAGTGTGCAGGGGTTTTAGTTACAAGGAGAAAGATGTTATTAAAATATTAAAAAAATAAAGTTTATACAACTAAACTAAAAGTGCTGTACTTTTATAAACTACAATATTTGCAAGCATGGGAAAATAATCCTTTTTTCTTAATTCAGTTCTCTGGGATTTAAATATTTTAACTCTTGAATGCCATTATATATTTATGAATTAGTAAATGACACAATTAATTTTAGCTTAATACTAGACTATTCATACTGCATTTAGGTGTGTCATTTTCTTACCTGAAATATGAATTCTGTACAAATTTGTGTTTCTTCTTGGTCAGGCCTCAAGACGGAAAGGATAGGGGTGGTTGGTATGCCAATAGAAGGTCTCCAAGGAAAACCTTGTAATGGTGACCAGAGCAGTTGGTGAAAAAGTAGCTGGACCTGTTTTTCCTTTGGGTCAGGCACCTAGTCAGTGTAGCAGTATGGAGTTAGTATTTTGCTGGATATGTCATATCTTGAATGGAATTTAGAAGCATGACTTGGTATTAATAATTTTTCACCTCACATTTTAAAGAAGCATGGGATGATAATCTGGATAATTTTTACTCTTTCTAGCATGAAGGAATGTCATGTCACTCTTTCATAGACTCTAACTGGACAGCTTATACATCACTTGTTTTCCTAGATATTGCACAAAATGTTTTGCTTTGCTGCTGCATTGAGACCTAAATATGTATGCATTTCACTTATTTCAAGCATGCTGTGGTCCTTACGGTCCTGAACTTCTACTTGGTGACTCATCCATAGCTCAGTGTGAATGGGGAATGTTCAGACTACCTGCAATCATGTGACTGTGATAATATTCCCTAGAGTAGGAAAAAAAGAATTAAAAAAATGTTAGATAGGAGTCAGAAATGTATAGCCACTGGGTAAAAAAAAAAATCAAACCTAAATTGAGCTTTGGCTGGTGAAGAGATCAGGTGACTTAGTCATCCATAGACCATTAAAATGAGCTAGATGAGGTCTTTAAGTATTTTTCAAATAAGTAACCTCTTTTGGAAGTGTCAGTATTGCTATGTTGTATTAATATGCCATGTATCTAAGTATCTTTTGTTTTTAAACTTAGATTACTATGCAAGCATCTTACATGGTTTTCTGCATTTTCCCTAATCTGTTTTAGTATTGAACTTGCAATATTACTTTTAAGAAACAGAACTAAAAACCAGACACTTTTAATTGATATAGAATGACATAGAAGTGACATGAATTTATATATATATATATATATATATATATATAAAATATAGAATTTACATGAATGATATAGAATTTTTTGATGCAATTTGGCGATCTGGTCTGTGGGATATTTACACCAATGCTTTACTTTAGTGGAAGGATAAGAAAACAACAAGAAAGAATTGCTCAATAAAGTTACTTTTCATAGCTGCTGGTTAAAAGACAGTGGTTTGTAATAGACTTTTGGGTGGGAGAAGGGTTCACTGTTCAAAGGCAATTAGCATCTGAGCTGCTGTCAGGGGTGGTAAGATTTCAGATAAGCTGCATGCTTAAATAACTTGAAAAATATCTTTTTCTGAATGCTTTCATACTGTTACATGTACATTACGTTGGTTTAATGACAAAGAAGAAAAAAAGATGTTTTTTAAAAGCCTGTATAGTCATTATTACCACTGGCCATATTTATGCAGAGAGGGACTGAGATGTGCCAAAAGACAGTCGCTCTATGTGTACATGTACATTCAAGATCCATTGCAGGAGTCAACGAACTGTGGGGTTTCATGCTGAGGTGAGGGTGTTCTAAGGTCTGACAGAAGTGGTGCACTTGAACAGGCCAGAAAGAAGTTAGCTAAACTAGAAAATAATTAACCTCATAATAGTAGTAAGTGCCAAATCTTCAGTTATTTTAGACAACTTTCAATTCATTGCAGCAGTTGTTTTCAAGGTGAAAATTGCATAGTGTTTCCACTTGCAGCTTTATGGAAAGGGTTCTCTGTGAAGTGTCTCTGTTATGGTGCTAGATAAACGGACATAATTTTCTGGAGAAGCCATAGCAAACAAATATATTTAGGTACTGATAGGTAATAATTACCATACAGAATCAAGCTGCCTGTGTATTCCAGATCCAGTCAGGACATAGCAGTTGCACTGTAGTTTACCCAGGCAGTCATTGCTCTGGCACTAGTTTCCCTGCCATCACAGATCTCAGCAACTGAAGTGGAAGTCTGGTGAGCTGAAATGCACAGTCTAGGTTACCTCCTATGGTTTTTTCTTGTCCTTGCTGAGCCACCTACCTTTGCAGATATCAGATGCATTCTCTGCAAGTGCTGCAAACTTATTGCTGGATACCAGCCAGTGCAAACGCAGTGTTACAGCTGCCTTAGTCCTTAGTTTTTCCATTCCACATCAAGCAACGTTTTCTTGTTGCAAACAGGGGAAATAGATCTTCAAGGAAAAAAAAACACTATTCTTCTGGATTAAAGAGAATTTAATCAGTGTTTGTTAATTTTTGCATGCATTTCAAAATCTGTGCTTCCAGTGCTGAATTTCTTTTGGTGGTGTTGTTGGGACACAACTGTTATAGCTCTGACCAGATGACTAGGCTTGTGGCTCCTCTGCAAACTTTTTGTGAGGGGAAGGACTGGACTTTCACAATTAACATTTAGCCTTTCCCTGTCTGATTTTGTGTATTGGGCTGTTAGCCTGCAACATTTTGCTAGGCCTGCAAAAAATGCTTCCTTACTCCTCAGTGACAGTCTTCTCCCCAGCTTGAGGACAAGAAGATTCCTTGATAAGATAAAATGTATTTTGTGCCGGTAATATAGTTGCTACAAAAATGTGCCACTGTGTTTCTGTTGTTTCATTCTGTGAAGACAAATATCATGTTTCATTATGTATTCCACTATGAAGTTTTTTTGTGCAATATGTACAGAGGTGAAGTAAGAGTAAAATAACAAATAAAGGCAAAAAAGTTGATCTCAATTTAGGTAAGAATGGAGGGACAAAAGCTCTAGACTTTTAGTAAAAAGGAGGAAGTAAAGAGGGAGGAAGACTTTCTTTGAGATCGTAATGACTTAAGCAGTGGTTGAGGGAGGAGCAGATAGTTCTGAAGGGAGTAAGGAAGCCCAGCAGCAATGCCTTAATAGAGAAAATTCTTGAGAAAGAAACATCAAAATTTGAAAAAACTATGTTAGGAGACTATGGCTATGCCCCAGTTTGACAGACTAGAAGGGCCAAGGAGAATGGAGAATTCAGGAACCCACAGATCTCAGTTGAGATTTTGAGGTTCTAGTGAGAGAGAATATAGAACTCTGTCTTGGACTGACAGCAGTCATACAGCATCCTGAAAGTCCCTAGACATTTTGAATGCATGGTTTTATGATGACTGTGAGGAGAGATTTGCAGTATTGCAGAGGGAAATGATGAAAGTATGAATAAAGATTTTAGTGGAGGCAGGGTCGGGGTAAGGATTCTGGCAGTGTGCCAGAGATGGTGTTAGACATATTGACAGGGGAGAGGCAGGGAGAAAATGTAAGCTCAGGATGAGGAATGACTTGAAGGTGTTAGTTTGCTCCTAAGGATAGACAGTAAATCTTAGTTTATTGGTACCTAATGCTCCAAGGTCCATGTATGCTGTAACAGATAATATAACAGTATATTACACAATAAAGTAAAGGCTTGGCAGAGAAGGAGAGATGCCAGCTGTGCCACTCTTGTGATACCAGAGACAGACTATAAAAATATTAGAATTTTTAATATCACTGTGCCACCCTGATAGGAAGCGGTCTGATGGTAATAGTTTTAATGTATGATTACTTTTAACTCTGTGTCCTAGAAGAAACTTGCTAGTGTCTTATATGATTCTGAGCTTTAAAATTATTTTTCCATTAAGGAAGTATTCAGAATGCCCAGCAAATCACTTTCTTTCCCTGTTAGATTTTATAGGGGTGAATTTGAAAACACATAGCTTTATTTAATACCTTAAAGTATTGAGTGTAACAATTAGCAGCAATTTAGTGTGGTGTCTAAGAAGCAACATAGACTTTATGCAGAATAATCCAAGGTCATTGGAGAAGTGTTGATTTTAGGAGGGGGTGGCAAAGGCCAACATAAGTGCATCTAATAGTGCTTTTCCCTGTCAAACTTGTTTGTTGAACACACTTTTGCAGCTCTGGTGGAAGAAGTTTATTCTGCTCAACGGGAACGTGATGAGGCTGTCATGGCAAGGCTTAGGTTAGCCAATGAAGAGAGAGATGAAGCATTTCTGCGAGTCCAGCATTTAGAAGAGTCTCTCAAAGAGTAAGTATACATTTCCTGCACCATGTAAAAAGGCTGTTGTGTCACTCTGTGACAGTCATAAGCTGCTCAACAGTGGTTATAGGAAAACTTAGCACATTATTATCCGTGCAATAAAATAAACTAGGGCTAGTCTTACTGTGTTATTGGTTCATTTGTTTGCTGTTTTATAAAACCCTGTTTTTCTCTGGAGACTGAGAGAAGGTGAATAATTTTGATCACAAAAATTAAAAATATAATCAAAAGCTTCAGTATTGATTTATTGAGGGAGAAATAAGATGAATGTGACATTTTATAGGGATCTTTTGACACAGAGTACCAGAATGTCAGTCAAAAGATGCAACATATAGGAAATCAATCAAGCCTTTAAGCCCACCAGGCATTTCCTTCAGCAAAATTTCTACTAATTATATGGGTGACACAGTAAAAATATATGGGTTTTTTCCCTATCTTTAGTGTAGGAGCAGTTTGTAAGGTAGTAAGGGTACAATTAATAGTTCATAGATTTTTATGTATGCCATTTTAACTCAACAGAAATAGGCAATCGTATGTTAAACAGAACTAAGTCAGGGGAAAATTATAAAGAGTGGTTTCTTTCTCCCTTGGGATATAGGCAGCTTTGAAGCTACAGTTTGCTTCTCCATACAATCCTTGGCCATCTGATTTGTGATGATCTTGGTGATCATATTTGTTAGTCCCACAAAGACTAGAGTGGCTGAGAAATTTCTCTTACTTTTCTGCCAGGAGAAATACAAAGAAACAAGCTTTTCATGGCAGGAGACTGAAAAGGTGCAGTTATTAGTTTACTAAATGACAGGCAATGATGTTTTAATTAATTGATTCTACTAAGAACACTCCTCTTTCAGGCAGAGAACCAGTCATCTTCTTTTGGGTATTGTTATAGTTCAGGCCAGACAATATTATCTAAATTAATTTCAATAATCTGAACATAGTTTGTCCACCATTACTCTGTAGAATTTACAAGTTAATAGAGTAGTCTTGTATGTTCCAAGAGTAAAGAAAGTTTTGTATGGCTTCAAACATCACATAATCCTGTATATAAACAGTTAGCATAAACTCAAGATCTTTGATCTTAAAGCTCTCAAGTAATGCAGAAAATTAATTATTCTGGTCAACAAACTTGGTCAATGGCTCGGGTTTCTGGCATATTGCTGCTTTCTCTGCAGTGGAATCCATAGACACATGAGTGGCTGTTCTTGACTTACATGAATCCCTCAAAACACCTTCACTTGTCTTGAAAACTGACTTAGTTCTAAGCAAAAGTATGAGAAAAGAGAGGAAACTACATTTCTCAGAGAACATGCACAGTACCTTCCTCAAAAAGGTGTCATTGCAGAAGGCGCTGGAAACACTGGTAATGCCAAAGAAGTACTTGTTTCCAGGAGAATCAGTAACTCCCTTGACTGATAGTTTGAAGCCAAGCTATTACATTTTATTGCTATCATTTAGAGAACAGCAGTTGTACTAGCTGTCATCCACTTGGGTGTTCTTTCCCATGCTCTATAGAGAGGTCTGATACCCTGATGCCATTCACAGTCTCAGAACTGGTTTAAGAGATTTCCCTGTGGAGAATATCAGCTTTCTTTTCTAACTACCACCCTTAATAGTTTCTTCCTTCCTTATGGTGGTTGTTCAAAAGGTCAAGTTCCCTGTCTGAGATGTGGAGCACATAGAGATTTGGGGTTTTTATAAAGAACATTGGCTACTTGTGCCACACTCATCAAGTTTTAGAGCACAAGTCACTCTTCCCATCTGCTTTGGACTTACTCCAATCAGAGAACTTTACAAGAGTACAATATTGAACAGCCTGCCAACCTTTATCAGGTGCTTTAATTCTTTCTTTAAATTAGCAGCTGGAGCAGTTCTATTGTCATTATTTAACTGTAACAACTAAAATTCTTTCAGCCCTGTTGGCTCTAGGGGTTATGTTATCAGAATATGTTTAGAAGTGGGAGAGGAGGAATCCTTGATTACTGCTGTTTAAAATCATAATGTTTTCATTCATTGTCTATGCACAGCACAGGGAGACTTAGCAGGGCAAATACACAGCTCTGGATGCTACTTTTTAAAACATATTGCCACCTAAGGAGATGTTTGTATACCTACAGATAGATCCCTTGTGGCAGTTATATGCTGAAGGTATGCTTATGGCAGAAGTTCATGTTCTTTTTTCCACTCCCATTTCTCCCTAAGGTATCTTGCTTACCCAGCCTGTTGGTTGGCTGGGTGGTTTTGTTGACCCACACTTTTAGCAGTGTAGAAGTCCTCTGGAGAAGCTGGGTCAGTCCTGCCAATTTACTTTGACAAATACTGTTCTTTTCATTGTGAATACAAACTAGCTGGAGATCCATTTTTAAGTCCCACATGAAGTGGTACTTAGAGCAATGTAAAAACCTAAAGCAGGATCTTAAACAGGATCTTAAAGTAGGACCTTAAAGCTGGACCAAGGATCGAGCTCTGAGAATTTATTATAATAATATAATAATTAATACTATTATGTTTGTTATTTTATTGTTTGTGTTACTTTATTAATAAAGTCAAACACAGCAAAGCTTAGCTTTTACTTTATTTTGTTTAGTTCTGATGCTGACTGAATATCTTGGAGTAGTTCCTGCTTGTGAATGCCATATAAATATAACAGTGATAGTATATTCTGAAATATACACTGATAGTATATTCTGAAATATTTCTTTTTAATTTAAAAATTTTTATACTGGTTGATTTACTATGCCTTACGTACTGTTATCTGCAAAAACTAATGGAAAAAGTGGTAGCATGCTGTCAAGTGTTCTATAATGTGTTTTAGCTAAAATCATGGCTTTGGAGCAATGCCTGTCACAGCACTGCTGAAATGTTGCTGTGTAGAAGATGTTTAATGGTACTATATCTGTCTGAAAATATCATAGGCTACTTTTAGTAGAAGTCGCTATTAAGTAAGTAGCAGTGGAGTGGTAAGGTAACTTTAATATGCTCATTTTTCCGGAAGAGAGATCTTTGTCCATTTAACTAACCTTAGATAAAATAAAATGTGTACTATCCCATTTATTAGATTTTTGTACTATCACTTACTACTTTTACACAGCCAGTATTCAATGCTGTATGACTAAATTCCTCGTATCATCTTTGTATTTGACAGGTCAATATATGTTCTGTTGAAATAGAAAGGGAGGAAAGTGCAGGCAGGTTTGTTCCAGAATTAAATAGGGGCCTTGCAGAGAATTGGCTTAGCTTCCTATTTTATGCAAGATATAAAATCAAAATATTTTTAAAGTTACTTCAACTGGTTTGGGATTTTTCCCTCATTTTGAAAGAAAGAGGTGGAAAAAGAATTCCTTAAAAATGAAAAAAAAAAACCTATCAACAAAGCCATGTTCTGTTTCATTTGGGGTGCAATAAAAACAAAAAAAAAAAACGCCAGCATGTAAAAGTTGTAAGCCCAGAAATAAATAAAATAAAAGCATCAGTCATTTCTATCACTGGGGAACTTTTTTCATCTAAGCACATATGAACAATTGATCCTTGTAGTCATATATAGCAGTAAACATTAATAACTTAACAGTCTGAAGTCAGTGCTGAAGATATGGAGCATTATTGAAAGATGGAGTCGAGCAGGTGGCACTTTAATATGTTCAGTGTCATGGTTGACTCTAAAGACTAGTAGAATGAAATTACTTGAGGTTCTAAAGATTTAAAAAGCGAACTCATTTTGCTGCACTAAGGAAATGCTACTGATCAGGCTTTCTGTGTCCCTTTTTTCTAGGCTAGAAAATATTAACCCTGAAGAAAATGACATGGTAAGCCATTCTCTGAGGAGATTTCTTGATGTCAGTCTTATATCTTAGAGGCTTAAGTTCAATTGAGTGGGTTTCAAGAACTAAGATGTGGGAAAAAGAAGAATTGACACACTAATAATGTACATCTTTGCTGCAATATGAAAATTCAATAACTTCACTCAGTCAATTTACAATTCACATGTGCCTATTAATTAAAACCCTATATTAAATAAAATATATTAAAACTTCATGTCTGACTAACATATAATGCTGTTGGTAGACATTACAGGAATTACTGAACAGAATAAACAATGCAGACACAGGGATAGATATACTGAAGAATGGAGCTATAATTCTGAACCGAATACACAGGACCAAAGAACGTAAAAAGAAAATAATAGCTGAGGAAATGAATGCAGTAATAGAGCAACGGGATGCTGCTTTATCTCAAGTAAGTCTCTACAAGTATATTATCACTCAGTAGAAAATTTCTTTATTTGTTTTTTTTTTCTTGGATGGGGGCAGGGGTTGGTTTACTTTTGGGGAAGAAAACTATTTTGTTTACTTTTCTCTCTTGAAAATCTCAAAGGAGAGCCCTTGTAGTAAATGTCTGATTACTAATCAACTTTTTCTTCATGGTAGTAGTGTCCATTAAAATGGCATCACTGTGTTTCCTGAGAAAAGTTACGTTTGCATTTTTTGCACTTCATTACTCTCTGTCTTCTTTCTAAAACAAAATGGTTTTCAGTGAGTTGACCAATCTAAGCTATTTAGGGCTTAGTTTTGAAGTGTGCTGTATTGGTAAAATGCATTGGATGACAGTTAACTGGGACAGAAGAATTTATAAAGGTTTGTAAGTAGCAAAAATATACATTAAAGGAAGGTAACAGTATCACATGCAACAATGCCAGCAATTCCTCCCTTTGTTGCTTCGAATGCAGGAGATAAAAATCAGCATGTGGTCCTTGACTCTCAGAGTCTTACCCATCTACAACATGACTTGAAAGAACGTGGGTTCTTTTTTCTGCTCAGATCACTCATTGCCTGCAATTTCCTATTTTGACACAACAGTAATTGTCTTCATTCTCTTAATCATAAAGAGAGTTTCCTTGCATTTTTCATCTCATGGACGACTTTTTCTGTCATTTCTTTGGTTTGAGTTTAGTTTTTTTACCGACCATTTTTTAATGGATTTTTAACTCAATAGGAAAGAGTTGTAAGGAGGAGCAGACCAAGTAGGGAATATATCTCCTGAGAAAAGATCTTAGACTGGATGAAGCCCTTATGCCAGGCAACAAATTTAATCTGACTCTTCCAATATTGGAAATTTTGATTTTTAATGTAAGTAACCAAAGTTGGCCCACATGTAACTAATTTAAAGTCAGGTTTGTGATCTTTAATTATATCAATAATGTTAATTGAATTTATGTTCTATTGAGAAGTCCTCTGATAAAAGTTCCCCCTTTACAAACACTGTAATTTTCATGCTTTTTCACTCATTTTTTACATTCTCTCCTACTTTAACCTTGAAAGCCCCATCTGCCTGGTGCTTAGAATATTTTTTGTGTCTGTCAAGAGTATGTATTGCAAAAAATCTTAATGTATTATTGGTGTTATTTTACTTTCTGAGTCTATTTTTTTCTTTTTATAATAATATTGCTGGGATGTTTCCCAGCACAGCTACTGGGAATCATCCAAAAACCCTTCCAAAAGTTTATGTTCTTTCTTCTTGCACAGGGTATTCAAAAAGTGAACATCTTGTAACAGGAAGGAAGAGAAGGATCTCTTTTGCTGATCTTGATATTTTTGTTTTCATTATTTCAGTTTTGGTTCTTTGGTTCTTTCAGGCATACTTGGACCATGAAACTTCTATCAATGTCAGAAGAATTTCATTGTCAGGCATTTTAATACACATTTTAATTTAATTGATTTTAAGCTGCCAGTTTAAGGAGTAAAATTTTCCAAGTAATCAGCTTGAAAATTAATAAAGATAATAATTTTGGATTGTAATGGCTCAGGTGTCAGCACTAGCAAAGCCATCTTTAGCCATATCAGCAAAAAGCACAGGTAATGTTAACTAGATACTGCAGCTGAAAAAACAAATTAATAGATTAATAAATCCTCACAAAATGAAGATGTAAATATTTGGTATTAAGCTGTAGTACTATGTTACCACTGGCCATTTATAGCACCATTGTTGTTTTAAATGAATTGTTAATAAAACTGTTCATCATGTGTTTTCAAATATGTGATGCTTTTACAGCTGTTACTGTTGAATCTAGAAAATAGGTCCTTGGAATTGAAGCTACCTTTTCAACCTGTGTTTCTCACTTGATGATTCCTTGGGAATTCATACCATACTTGAATTATTAGTAGTCTTTTGTTAACATTGCAATAGCAGTAGTTATTACAGTGCTAACAGCAAGAACAATAGGAGAGGGATTCTACATTAGACCACAAAGGGACTAGATATAATTCAGGGGATGTATATGCTTAGCATAACAAATGCAAATTATTGGAAGTTAGATCTGGGGTTGCCTCAGGCATTCATAACACTGCAAGTTAAAATCTGTTTCTTTTTGTGGAAATGATATCAAATATGAAGGGGGGAATTGAGAGCAGATTGAGAAGAAGCAGAAATAGAGTAAACCATTGGCATGCTATGTCTGACCTCTGGAAAATGGATTTGTAAAGTTCAGGGGTCACTGGGCAATGGAGGTGGAATGTTTCATGAGACATGGTGTTGCTTTGTTCCTGGTTGCTGTTGTATGGTGCTGGAGACAGCAATGTCATTTGAGTGACCACCAGAGCTGGTTCCATATGATAGACAGCTGCCTACACAATAACAAGAGTCTGGGCTGACTGTGTTTAGTGAAGCTGCATCTATTGCTTTTTGCTGTAATTTCCTTCATGATAGCCTGGCATTTGGCAATTGAGTACAGCAAGCCTATGTAGTGTCTAGCTTTGGGGGTTAACTCATGGGATTTCTGATTTTTCTGAGTAAGAAACAATTATGTGCAAACTTTCACAGCTTAAACACATTGCTTTGATTTCAAGTGGGGAATAAAGTACATTTATAGAGAATGGACATTCTTTAAACTATGCATTTCCTATGACCAGGTAAATACAGATTACTTCCACCTAGTCATCTAAATTGAGTTTCATCATGCTTTTTTTGGTAGCTATACTACTGAGCTGCATTTAGTTGGACTGCAATTGCAGCATACTCAATGATTAGCTTGTTGTGATTCTTCTGTTTAGATTTTACATGATTTTTATTCTTCAAAAAATGAAGAGCACTATCCATGTCTTAGAAAGGCCATAAAAATGTTTTTTCTAGCTGTAACATCCAAGAACCTCTGTGTATTTTTTGAGTTTTCAGCGTGAGCATTGCTTCTTACTAGGAAGCAGATTGAGGCACTTCTCTCTCTGTATTGAGCTGTGCAAGTGTATGTAATCTCAGATCTTTCACTAGATTGCTGAGCAAATATGCAAACTACTTTTTGTATGTGTGAAAACAAATGAAATGGTATAAACTCAAATATTTGATACTACTTTTAGTATGTATTTTCAAGTGAATAATAAACAAACAACTAAAGCATGGCTAAACATTGACATCCATCTTCTGTATCAACCCCCTTAAAAAAACAAACTCAACAGTTTGGTTGTATTTGCTAAGATATGTTTGTTAGTGAACAGATATTGTGTGATACTGAGGATCTACAGTGTGTTTTATGACTGATCCTCTGAAAGAAATAAAACATCATTTTCTTGTCTGTAACATTCAGTTTTGTCGTAACTCATTCAAGGAAAAAAGTTGTTTGTCCAGTTGATCATAATGCAGTTTTACCTTTCTTGAGAAATCTCTCTTGCTTGAGTAATCCAGTGAGTGACAGACACTTAGTAGAGATTCCATATGGCATAGTCACATTGTGTGATCCTCATAAAATACTCTAAAGAAGTGGTTTCCAGCAGGAGGCAATGCAGTACAGTGTCTCAGCAATCTATCAGCCACATCACACCTTGTGGACAGGAATGTTAATATCATTACAGGGTTGGCAGCCGAAGACTCAAGTAAGCCATTACAATTACTTTTCTTCTGGTTTAGACAAGGAAGGGGACCTTTTAATTGGTACAGCTTGAAGGAAGTGATTTTTTAAAGCTCATTAAGAGATTAGGAAATTGTGTGTTTGATATGTTTCCAGTCCTAACTAATTCTGTAAATGTGGGAGGTTTTTAATTGGTAACAGTCATTTCTATACAGAGTTTTAAATATTAAAGATATATATAATTTGCTGTTAAGGAATAGCAGTGGTTTCATGGCTGGCAAAGTATTACCTCTAGTACACTGATCTTGAAGCAATAGCGTAACTGGCAAGCAAACCTGGTTTTACAGCTTTGAATAGTTTGACCACATCCTGCTGTGCAGGAACATGCTTATGACTGTTCATGTAAAAAATTGGCAGGCACCCAGTTGCTCATCTGAAGCAAGTTAAAGAATCCTTCTCCATTTTGAGGCGCTGCTTGGCAGCAGGCAGCACTTTATCATCATTGAAAACAATGACGAGATGCACTGTGCTTAACTTCCCATCACTATCAGTTTCGACTAATGACTAATAACTGATAAATGTCTTAGAGCTAGTCAGCTTCTTGCTAGCTTTTCTTTCTTTGTTTTTGTTCTGCTAAAGTAATTTTCTTCCTTTTACACCAAGTAGTGTAAAAGGAAGAACTCTGTTGCCTGTGATTTACAGAGCATTAAGGCATTCTCAGCACTGGAGTGAACAGGTCTTAGTGAGGTAGTAAATCCAAGAGCTGTACAAAATCTAAAAACAAGAAATATAAATGAAAAAAAAAAATTTACAAATTTTGGACCCTTAATAGAGGAATACTCAGGTGACAGGTTACAATGCCTCATGACTCTTGGGAGAGAGGTGATCCCTTTGCAAACCAAACCACAGTGTGGGATGGGTTTTTTGTACTTTTAATTAGAGGTCTGGTTTTATACTCTGTGTTTTGGTACCCTTTGGCACTTCTTGATTAAGAATGCTAATCAAGTTCTTGGCTGGCAGGAGCATATCTGACAGTATCCCCCTACCTACTCTCTCAAGGTGCTTACCCTACTTTTCCATTTGCCACACGTATTTGGGAACAGGAAAAAAACAGGTAGGATGCAGTATCCATAGTTGTTTATGAACCAGGCAGCTGCTGTTGGATACTGATGATTTTGGTCATAAACTTATTTCAGGAGGAAAGTGAAAGTAAAGGGAATGTTTATTGTACTTTGAGGATCCAAGAACCATGCTTGTTCACTAATGGCTAGTTTCCTTTGGGAAGGCAACAGCAAGTTGATGTTGTTCTCATTTGCATCCTTTTCTCTGAGAGGTAGCTGATGAATGGGCATGGGGAAATTCCTTGCCAGCAGGATGGCTGAACAGAGAGAGGACACCTGTC